TTCCATATAATTCTACCACGGCTTCTCAGGAGTTGGAAAACACACTAAACTCGGGAGAGAGGATACCAAATCATCGCATCACAATATTTCGGATGATACCAAATCATCACATCTCAATATTTCGGATCATATCAAATCATCCCATCTCAATATTTCGGAGTTTAACAATAAGTACGGGCTCAAACGCGGCCAAAAATCAAGGGGCTTTACATGGATGACCACATAGCAACCATGTCAGCCGGACCATGGAAGATCACATAGCATCCATGTCTTCTCCTGATACGCTGCCAACATCGGCCTCCTAGCAGAAATTATACTTCAATCTAACGGGATGTGAGATCAAGTCTATCCATATAGACATGTGGCTGTATGAAATATCTCACTAGGACAGAAAGGACTATGAACCGGTCCTTATGTGACCGAGACGAGTATCTCCCAACAGGAACCCTCACCAGGCGATCCTGCCAAGGTAACTTATACCACATAAGTTACCCCTCACTCGCACGATCGTTGTTTAGTTCAGGTTTACCAGTTTTAAGTTTCATAGTTATTATCCTCAGGTTCATAGAGCTCATATCATATCAAGATAATCATTTACCATATTATCATTAATCACATTATTATAGTTAAGCTCATATCATATCATTTACCATATCGTCATGTTCACATAATAATCAAGGTCATAATTTATTATAATTCCATTAATTCACAAAAGAGGATTTAAGTAATACAAGTTGATTTTATTTATTAGTGGAGATGGAAAGTGGAGGATTTATGGTGGAGGCTGGTAAGATGTGGTGGTGGTGGAAAAGGAGTAATTCAGGGATAACATATTATGTGGAGGGAAGGGATAGGGGGGTGTTAGGACTTGTCTCTTTTCGCTGACGATTATATCCTCATCCGACTCCTGTGTCTCCTGCTCCAGTCTTCTGGACTCCATCGGGTTTTCTCCACGCCTTCTATCCTACGTGGTCTAGCGTCGACAAACAAAGGGAATACCAACAAGGGAAACACACCAAGCAGGCATGTAAAAAAAGCATAAGCTATCAAAGAAAGGAAGTGGCCCTAGATGGGTTGGTCCTATTGGGGTGATGGGTTGTTATATAAGGTTATCACTATTATGTGAATTTGAAGTAAGGGTTGGATAGAGGGATTCCATCCATAGGGTAAGGCTCTACGGGTTAGGTTAAAGTGATGGGTTGTCTGGCGAAAACTAGACCACATTATATTTCACTATTATGTGAACCTGAAAGAGAAAGCCTGGCCAAATCATCATAGATGACCTGTCTGACCTCTATAGGTCCATTAGGGTTAGGGGCACATACGAACATGCATATGTATGTGCCTAGGATTAATTAGGATGGAAAAAGGCGGGACTTAAAGTTAGCCATACATAGCCGTATACCTGGGTATTTATGTGTCCTATACTCGGGCATACCCATGTATGTATATATATCCTATTATTCTAGGTAACTAGGTGTGGGTATATTCGAGTATATGTGTAATGGCGTACTCACATACGCAAATATACAGGGTTAGCTACTACCATGGCTTAATGCTAAATTAAATGTAAGAAGGAAAAACAATCAAACTAGAATTTAAATGGGCACCAAATAATAGGACAAAGGATATGAGTAGCTAGTGCTTGATTTTAGCAGATTTTTGGTGGAAGAATCAAGGAATTTGGATTTAGGATGGAGGAGTTATGATTTATCAAAGATGATTTAACAGGAAAAGAATATGTGGATTATACTTTGGGAATTATTTCTAGAAATTAGAATAATGGAAATGGGAAGAAAGAGGTTGGGTAGGTTCTGGGGTGTACCTAGTTTATTTAGGAATTTTCTGGGAATTTTTTCATGCAAGGAAATGGGTTAGGTGGCCTCCTGTGTACACTTTCGGGTGCTTACTGCGCCGTAGACCCCTCACTCTCTCTAGGTCTAGGTGGACCGAGTCCATGGAAGGGAAGGAAGGGAAGAGAGGGAGTCTCTGTGGCCGACAGGTAGGGTCTGTGTGGTAGTGCTGTGTTCTGCTGACGTGTGGGCCTCCTCCCTCCTTATCTTTTAACGGACAGAGGCAGAGGGGTGACGGTGTTGTGGTGACTGGCCCATAGTCAAAGAGGGAGAGGGAGCATGGAGGGGAGACGGCGTCAGGATGGTGTCGTCGGCTTCGCCGGAAAGCAGGGGGGGCGCTAAGCTCGCTGGAGCGGGCTGCGCCGGTGGTATCCCCGTCCATAGCTAGATGCCACGGGGCAGACGGTGCTCCTAGGGCTATGCCACGGTGCCTAGGGTAGTTGGCAGGGACCGCGGGTACCCGAGGTGGCCACGACGGCTTGCCGGAGCAACCACTCCTACAAAGCATTCAAGCGAGCGAGAAGTGGTGGCACGTGGTCATGGTGGTGGTGTGGGTGTGTAGAGGTTGTCGTCGTGCCCAGTCAGGCCTTGTCGGAGACGAGCAGCGGTCATGGTGGCTTGGCAAAGACTGGCTCACGACGACAAGCAACACAGGGGGTTTGGGAACACTAGGGTTGGCGGAGGAGGTGTAGGAGAGGCTAGGGAGCTCGCCGACTAGCTTAATTAACCTATGGGGTACTAGAGAGGGAGAACTTGGAGCTTGCTCCAATGGTGGCCACGACGCCCAAATTTGGGGGAAGTCGTGCTAGCGCTTGGAGGGAGGGGGAAGGTGAGGAACTAAGGGGGAGACGGTGTGTTCCTAACCTTGGCGAAGCTCGCTGCTTAGGTGGTTGAGGAAGAGGGGCTCGAGTCGGGCCTATTTATAGGCCGCCGAGGTCGGTTCGCCGGCAAGATCGCCTCGGTTGCGCACGCATCAAATTTCCTCCTAGCGATGAGCTGGCATTTGCTCTGCTCGTTCTTATTCGGACTCAGTCGGGGTACAGCGGAGACCAAGGTGTGGTCATGGCAGTGTAATGGTCGAGTGACCCTGCACTGCCGCGTGTCCACGGGGTGCTGAGGGGGAGAGAGGAGATGGCGGTGTCGTGAAGTTTCAGTGGGTCCCGGTGATGCCCTTCATCCTCATCCACTTCACTGGGATGAGGCGGTGGTAGCACGGCCGAGGCGACGTACGTCGACCCGGTATTCCCATGGTCGTCGCACTAGAGAAGACAAAGATGGGGCCATGGTGTCAGCGCGGGTGCAAGGAGACCAACGGGAGTGGGCTGCGCTGGTTGGGCCGGCCCACGCGAAAGAAGAGGGGAAGGGTGCATGCTCGGCTTGGGCTGGCGATGGCCCAAAGCGGGATGGGAGGCAGGCTGCTTCGCTGGCCAGGGAGAGGGAGAGAGAGAATTGAGCCTGTGACCAATTCCTATTTATGGAATGCATTTTCTATTTCCCAGAAATAAACTAAGGCACTTTTAATTGATTTGAATTTGAATTTGAATTCAAGGGAATTCGAAATGTGGTAGGCTTGGTAAATCAAGGGAGAGTCAAGGATGTTTTCAAGAGAAGGTCAAGGGAATTTGAAGGGAAAAGCCAAGGTGCCAAATAAATTCTAGGGCAAATATACAAGTATTCAAACAATCATTCCAAACATTTCAAGCATTCTAACCTAAATGGATATGGTGGATTTTTAATGTGGGGTTTTGGAAAGCATTTTTAAAATGGTTTTGCAAAAAATAAATGCTCAAGGTTTTAATTTGTTGTAAAGTTTTAAAAAGTTCAAATTTTTAGTGGTTTTTATTATGATGCAAAACACAGGGTGTTACACCTCGCATGCTGCTGCGCGTACCATGTTGCTACGTGCCCGTGCCTGCCGCGCGCATGCGGAGACCACCTGCACCTGCTAATGTTGCAACATGAAGCACTTTTGCAACATACTTCTGAAACATGTGAAACATTTGCAACATATGTGTATAGCCACTGAAACATATGCAACATCCAGATGAAAACACTTGCAACATACGTCCGAAACCGATGAAATATTTTGAATAGATGCTTGCAACATATGTGTATAGCCATTGAAACATATGCAACATCTGGATAAAACATTTACAACATACGTATGAAACAAATTAAACATTTTGAATAAACGCTTACAACATATCTCTAAAACACTTACAACATACCTCTGAAACACATGCAACATGTGCAACATCCTAACCTACTTTTGTAGCATCCATATAAAATACTTGCAACATATCTTTGAAACATCTGAAACACTTGAAACATGCATTTGCAACATATACGGGTCCTCCTGCCGTGGTTTCTTCGGCCGACCGCGTGAAATGATGTCCCGGCCGGCGAAGACCTTCTCTCGATGGCACAAGGGTGGTGGTGGCGCGGTGCATGGCGTGGCCGCGATAGGTGAGAGCAGATTGGGGCACGGCGGTGGATGTCCGCAAAAAGAAGGCGAGTGGGGGGGGCGGTGGTGTTGCTTGCGCGATGGATGGGCGCGCCTTGAGGGGTGTTATGGTCTCGGCGGCCGGGCACAGGATGGGGTCGCACGCGGTGGCAAAGTGAGGTGGCCAGGTGCTGGTTGGTGGTGCGCGCAGGGATGGCCACAGCGGTGAGGCACAGTGGGATGAGTGGAAGATATTTTTTTAGGGAGAGAGCACGTCCGGAGTGAGGCGTGCTGCGTCGGGATGAGGCGGATGCCCGTGGCCAAGCATTATTGTTCTCCAGATGGGGCGGACAGCCGTGGCCAAGCATTATCGTTCTCGTAATGACCAATTGTGGGTATTTCATTTGGTAAAAAAAGATAGATACATCCGGTGACCATTTTATCATTGTCCTTCAGAGTATACTGATACTGAATTGATGACCAGATTTTATGATTTTTGTGATAATTTTCTAGGGAACATCCTTTTTTCTAACGCCTTATGAGCATATAATTCGGTAGAAAAACAAACATTTCGAGACCCAGTACTTTTTTTCTAGCGCCTTTTGAGCAAATACTTTTTTTTCTTATGAGCATGCTCTCGTTATTTATCCAGCCAAATATGCACGGGTTGACGCGCCAGTTGAAGCGTAACCTACCTATATGGGCTATATATGGCGCACGTCCTGCTCCTCCGAGGGCATCAACACATGGCGGCAAAGAGGGCACAAACAGCTACGCGCCAGCCATCCGGCGAGGCACTCGTGATGGAACCCATGCTTGCAGGGCATCACGCACAGGTCGTCGTCTACCGCGTAGTCCATCAAGCAAATAGGGCACTGGCTGTCCTCATCCTGGTCTGATCTCTCGTACTTTCGCTTCTCGAGTCCGGCGACCACCCCAGAAGAAGCCGGGACGCCTCCTCCAAAGCCACGGCCGCCGTCGACGCCGTCGTTATCGCGTAGATCTAACCACTCCGGTAGGGGAATCAGGACTTCAGCAGCTAAAGCCTGATAAAAAATCTGCTCCGCCTCGGCCAGCATGTCGTCGTCTTCATGGTGTTGATCTGAATCCTCCGGTAGGGGAGTCAGCGCTCCAGCGGCCACAGCCTGATCATAAATCCGCTCCAGGATGTCGCCGATGTCGTCGTGTTCTGGGAGCCTCATGGCAAACTCCATTATCTGATCAAAGTACTCACCTGACAATCCACGCTGCAACATCTCCGTGACTTCCTCGAGGCTTGTTGCTTCATGCTCAAACGGCTCCAAGAGCTGGAGATGACCACCGCCGGGGAGGGTGCCACCGTTGTCGCGTGGTGCCTGTGCCTCATGATCTGCATCAGCACTGCCGACGGCGCCGGCGAGCAGACGGGCACCCACAGCCGATGACGGAGTTGCATGACCATGCTCTTGGGCGGCGGCGCTTACTTCTCTCGACCGTGCTGTCAGCCGTTGCAGTAAAGCTTGGAGCAGTTGGGTCATGTCCACGTCGTCCATGCCTACCTGATCGTTTGCTCCAGTAATCTAATGCGCGTGTTTTAGTTAGTAAGTACGCAGTACTATGCATATAGTACGCCGCCTTCGTCTACGAGATTGGTCATTGCATTGGGCCGGCAATGCCTAAATTTATATGCTGTCCTCGCCTAATAATATCAGTACAAATCCCAGACGAATTCGAAATAGTTCTGATCACACATGAATTCGAATACTACCCAGTCGGACAGACGTGAACTCAGCTTCTCGGTTACGATGGTCTCTTCTCGTGTTCTACTCCTGTTCCGCCGTCCGCATCACCTCATGACACCATCTTCTTACTTCCCGAGGAGTGCTTGAAAACTAAAATTTATTTTTATGGAAATGCTTGATTAAGGGCTTCCGGACGGACAGACCCAAACCGTGCGTACTACGGCCAATAAAAAAGGTGCGCGCACAAAAAGGTGCGCGCACTACCGGAAACGTCAAATTTGCCGAGTGTTTTTATGTTTGCCGAGTGTATTCTATCGGGCACTCGGCAAACAAGTTCTTTACCGAGTGTTTTCCTAAAAACATTCGGAAAAAAAAAACACTCGGTAAAGAGGAGGTTTGTCAAAAAAATACACTTGGCAAAGCCCCTGTTTGCCGAGTGTTTTTTTTTTACACTCGGCAAAGAAATAAAATATTTTTTTCTGGGAAAGAAGGACAAGGAAAAAATGAAAAAAAAAGTTTGCCGAGTGCCCAGATCTAGGACACTCGGCAAAGGAATAAAATATCTTTTCTGAGAAAGAAGGAGAAGAAGAAAAATGAAAAAAAAAACTTTACCGAGTGCCCAGATCTAGGACACTCGGCAAAGGAATAAAATATATTTTCTGGAAAATAAAACACCGCCTCCCTCCTCTCTCCCGCACTGCCTCCCTCCTCTTTCCCGCACACCGCGCGCCCCTCCCCTTCTCCCCGCACGCGCCGCGCCTCCCCTTCTCCCCGCAGACCACTAGTAGAGAACAGACCTTTCATCCGATGCTAAAATGGGCTCTAGTCCCGGCATTTTTTGCGCCCGAGACTAGAGAGACCTTCACCAACCGGGACCAAAGGTCCCTGCCCAACGGCTACTGCGCTCGGCACAGTGACAGAGGACCTTTAGTCCTGGTTGGAGACACCAACCGGGACTAAAGGTGGACCTTTACTCCCGGTTGGAGCCACCAACCGGGACTAAAAGTCCTCAACCTTTAGTCCTGGTTGGTAACACTAACCGGGACTAAAGGTAGACCATTTAGTCCCGGTTGGTAACACCAACCCGGACAAAAGGACCCTTTAGTCCCGGTTGGTAACACCAACCGGGACTAAAGGTCTCCCGATGGGTTAGTTCAAAAGGGAAGCATCCCATCCATTGTTAGATGTGTTGTGTAGGTGAGGTGGTAAGCTACGCGCGAGGCAATGCATGGGGTCTTGGGTTCACGGGACGCAGCGGTGGGAGGCATTATTTTTTTTAAAGCTGGGAGGACCTTTAGTCCCAGTTGGTGTTACCCACCGGGACTAAAGGTCCCCCTTTAGTCTCAGTTCCTGACCCGGGACTAAAGGACCCCCCTTTAGTCCCGGATGCTTACTCCCGGGTGGGGAACCAGGACTAGAGGGGGTTCCCCACCGGGAGTAAAGCTCTGTTCTCTACCAGTGGGCGCTACGCCGGCGCCTCCCCTTCTCCCTTCTCCCCGCACGCGTCGCGCCTCCCCTTCTCCCTTCTCCCCGCACGAGCCGCGCGGCCCCTCCCCTCCCGGCCGAATCCGGCGGCGGCCCCTCCCCTCCCGGTCAGATGAGCACGGCCGCCTCGACGGAGCCCCGGCAGCGAGCAGCACCAGCTCCGGTCCTGCTCAGCCTCGATCCATCGGAGCTCAACGCCGGAGGCCCGGCGAAGGGCAAGGACAGTGGTAGCCGGGCTTCTTTTTCCTCCTTTCCTCTCTCCCGCGAAGCTCCTGTGTTGGTTCCGGCGCAATTCTTGGCGGGGGACCTCGGCCGGCAGCGCCTCCGGCACCGGGGCGGGCGGATGCTTCCTTCCCCCGCCAGGATCTGCTCTCCCCCGTCCGGATCTGCTCCTATGTCTCCCCTGTGGGGCTCCTCTGCGTGCTCTTCGGAGAGGGGGGTGGCTCAACCGGCGGCGAGTGGATCCACCATCCCTGCCCCCTCCGTGCGTTTGAGCCGAAGCGGGTCGGAGGTGGTGCTCTCCGGCTTTCACCGGCGTCGGGGGCGGCGGCCCGGTCCACAGCGCACTTTGGGCCTGGTGGGGCCGGGAACGGATGAGGCGGGGGCTGTGCTGGCCCTCCTCAACCTTGTTGTCCGGATAATTAGTTTTTTCTTTGGAAAATACGTTTGCCGAGTGTATTTTGAAAAACACTCGACAAACCAATTTTTTTCCGAGTGTCAAATTTGACACTTGGCAAACCATTTGCCGAGTGCGCGATAAAAAACACTCGGCAAATAGTTATTTGCTGACACACAGATGCCGTGTGTTGTATGCCGAGTGTTACACTCGGCAAAGCAGTTGACGAGTGTTTTTGAGCTTTTGCCGAGTGCCCCTGGCACTCAGCAAAACTACTGTATCCCGTAGTGGCGTAGTTACAGGCTTACAGGGGGTCCGCACCCTTGGAGCGCGTGCGGCCACTCGTTCGGGGTGCATTCAGCGCGTGGGGGTCGTGCATGCATGTGACCACATAGAGAGGATCATGACAATGGTCTGATCTAGAACACGCATAGCGCTTAGGGTTGGACCATCTAGAAACGCCTAGGCCTACCCGCCGCCTCCTCCTTGCCGTGCTGCTTTTTCTCTCTCTCGTGTTGTCCCCTCCCCTGTTGTCTGCGCCAATCCTAGCTACCCCTACCGCTGATCCCCTGCCTGCCGCAGTTTGCATTTTGGATTGAAACCCTAAGTGCTTTGGTCGATCGGCAAGTGTTGAAGCAATGCGAAGATCATGACAATGGGCGGTTTAGCCGCTTCACTACCAAAATCCTTAAATTTGCCGAGTGTTTTTATGTTTGCCGAGTGTATTCCCTCAGGCACTCGGCGAATAAGTTCTTTGCCGAGTGCTGCGCTAAAAACACTCGGCAAAAAAAACACTCAGCAAATGAGGGGGTTTGCCGAGTGTCAAAAAAGAAACACTAGGCAAAGAGCGGGTTTGCCGAGTGTCAAAAAAACATTCGGCAAAGAAATAAAATCTTTTTTTCTGAAAAAGAAGGAGAAGAAAAAAAAACTTTGCCGAGTCCTCGGATCTAGAAACATTTATAGCCCCAAGAAAGAAATAAAATCTTGCACATTTTTTTCAGACTCAAAGATCCATCAATTGTGAGAGAAAAAAAATTGCGAAAAACTTTTGCCACCACCTAGACGGTTGGAGCAGCGGTCAGGATCTAGAACACTGGTGATTGCAAAGAAATAATTTTTTCTAGAAATAAAACGTGTCATTGAGTTACCTCACCCGGTTCTTGCGGTGTCCTATCGTGTGGGACTCCTGAAACACCTCCTCCTTTGAACCTCGGGAGAAAATCGATTGTCTCTCTTCTTTGTCATTCTCCCGGTGATTGGCATTCATCCTCCCCTACACGTTGGTATAATCACCACCTCCGCGCCTCCCTACAAGCTCTCCTAGAATTGAGAGCTTGCTTTATTATTTACATTCATCTAGTTGAGCTCCTCTTAGTGAGTAATTACATAGCTAGTTTGTGTGCCTAAGTATTCATGCAACTAGAATTGTTGGATAGGTGGCTTGCAACCTTGTAGAGCTAGAGCAAGTTTGCATTCGCTATTTGTCACCTCCTCTAGTTGATTTGTAGATTTTAAATAGGCTCTCCTCCCCCTCTAGCCATATTAGGACCTTTCACTCACGGGTGCCCCCTCCCCTCAAATCCCGGTTGGTGCCCCCTCCTCTCCTCTCCCGACCCTCTCCCGCCTGGCGGCCCCCATGCGCCCCAACAGAGACCCTCCTCTCCCCATGCGGCACACCCCCTCTTCCTCATCATGTGCGTGGCGCCCTCTCTTCCTCATGCAATGCACGTTGGATCCGTGGCGGGTGGTGGAGGAGCCGGATCCAGCGGCGGGGTGTGCGGAGGAGCTGGATCCGGCTAAAACAGCGCTCAGGGAGGCCTCCCCCGGTGGCGGTGGCGCTCGGAGGCGTTGGATCCGGCTACGGCATGCCCGGGAAGGCCGACAGCGGTGGTGGGGCCTGAGCAGAGCAGGCGAGCTCGACGGATCCTCTCCATCTCTGCTCTCCATGCGGGCGCAGCCTCGATGGCGGCGAATCCAATGGTGCAGGTGCGGGCGAGGCCTCGGTGGTGGTGGAACCAGCAGGCGCCCCTCCCCTCCCCGTTCTTCTTCCCCGGCAGGCGCCCCTCCCCTCCCCCTTCTTCTTCCCCGGCGGCTTTGGTGGTGGTGGTGGTGGTGATAGTGGCCGGCGGCTGTGGTGGTGGTGGTGGCAGCGGTGGTGGCGGTGGTAGCGTGGTGGTGCTGTCGGTGACTTGTTTTTTTTATTTTTTTCCGAAAAATGTTTGCCGAGTGTTTTTTGGGACTCGGCATGGTCTTTGCCAAGTGCCTGATGATTGACACTCGGCAAAACAGTCTTTGCCGTTAAAACCTACACCGAGTGTCGTTTGCCGAGTGTAACACTCGGCAAACGCTTTGCCGAGTGTTTTTGGGGCTTTGCCGAGTGCCCTCTTGTATCCGGTAGTGGTTGTAGGGCTGGCCCGGCCGCTTGCCTCTTTGTGACAGGAGCGCGGGCCCACATCTACATGGCAGCTGAGTACTGGCCCAAATTTTTCCGTCACTTGATGGCATCTAGCTCCGTATGTTTCATGCGTTTCAAATGTATGTTTTCATCCGGATGTTGCATGTATTTCATTTGGATGTTGTATATGTTGCAATAAGTATACACGTATGTTGCAAGTGTATGTTTCAAATGTTTCAGCTGGATGTTGCAATGGCTATACATGTATGTTGCAAGTATATGTTTCAAATGTTTCAGCTATTTCAAACGTATGTT